CAGCCCATCAGTGGCACAGGAGGCAGCCTCCAGTCTGGGAGGGACCTGAGGCCAATGTGTTTTTATTTTTTATTTTTTATTTTTTTTAGATTTTTGCTATAGGGCGTGTGCACTTGCCAGAGAGACGACGACAGAGAGAAATCACTCCCTGAGGATGACCATGCCACAATCCCTTCTCCTCCATTCTCCTCTTGGGATTTTGGGTACGTACGCACATGCACCCAGCATGAGTTTTAAGTCACTGGGTCTGGGCCTGGAACCGCGGGTGACTACGTGGGAGTCCAGTGACCTAACCATTACGTCATCTGCTGGTCCCTTGGCTAATCTAATATGTGGCTGTAGGAGAATCCCTGACTTGAAGGCTGGAGGTGCCTGTGCCTTGAATTTTTTTTTTTAAATTTACTTTTTTTCGGGTGTCAGAAAAAGAGAGAGAGAGAGAGAGAGAGAGAGAGAGAGAGAGAGAGCAATCCCCTGATGGGGCATGGCCATACCACAATCTTTTCTCCATTTTTCCATCCAGTCAAGATTTTGGGCATGCATGAACATACACCTGGTGTATTTTTCAAGCCTCCAGGGCTGGGATTTGAACAGCAGTCAACCATGTGGAATCTGGCTCCCTAACTCCTGTGCTCTGAGACCAGCCCATGCCCTGAATATTTTTATCTGATCAGTTGAGTCAGATCCAAGTGGAGTGAGTCTGGAATCTGCTACTTTCTAACTGCATCAACTGGTGATGTTACTGACGGTCTCTGAGCCTTTCTGTAAAATGTGAAGAGTTAGGCTGACTTCTCAGGTTGGGTAGGACAGTGAATGATGTATTGGAGTTATTTGAGCTGGCATCTGGCATGTAGTAAGTGCTCCATAAGTAGCCGATATTGTTGTTAGAAGAAAGAGAGAGCTAACCAGAGGGAAAATGGGTATTTTCTTCAATCATGTCTAATTTCTTTCTTTCTTTCTTTCTTTTTTTTTTTTTTTTGAGAGGTTTTTGCTATAGGGTGCATGCACTCACCAGAAAAAATAGAGACAGAAAATGAGAAATCACCTCCCAGGGGAGATGGCCACGTTGCAATCCCTTCTCCTCCATTCTCTTATCAATCTTGGGCATACACACACATGCACCCAGCATGAGTTTAAGCCACTGTGTCCAGGACTGTAACCGCAGTCGACTACATGAGAGTCCAGCGACATGGCCACTACGCCAACTGCTGGTCCCAATCATGTCTAATTTCTGTGGGATCATCGCCATACATGGATCTGGTGGGCAGAGACAACAACCTGTTTCTGAAAACTCCAACCTCATAACTTAAACAGAAATACTGCCATTGTTTACTTGGTCAAAACCAAAGTGTAGAAATCAATAGTCAGAGTGTTTGTGTGAGCGTGTGTGTGTGTGTGTGTGCGTGTGTGTGTGTGCGTGTGTCCGTGTGTGTGTGTTTTGCTTATTACATTATAAAAATCTACAATAAGCTACCCTACTGAAAACTGAATCTTAGTTTTATTCGGTATAATTCTCACCAGTTAGAAAGTACTGTATTTGGGTGTTTCTTAGAAGATGGAGTAGGGAATAAAAAGAAATATGCTTCTTAAGTGGAATCCATTTACCTTCTTTCTGTTTAGAAATCTGTCCTCAGGAACTTTCTTTGCAGTGGGAAAGGTCGTTAGCAATTTGTTAGTGCTGCCTTTAGGTGCCTTGCTTCTCTGGGAAGAGCTGACGTTACTGCCACTTAGGTCATAGGTTATGTTCTAGCAGTACTGAGTGTGAAGATAGTGTTCAATGCAATGCAAAATGCATTTACAATAGATTTAAAAACTAATTTAAAATTTATTTTGTATTTTTTTTTAATGCCAGAGGGCATGTGCTCCTCCAGAGAGAGAGAGGGAGGGAGGAAGCACCGCCACTCCCCCGTGCACCACACCCCCAGGGGTACGGTCATACTGTGGTACTTTCTCCTCTGTTTCTCTGTCTTGTCAGGATTTGAGTTATGCGCACACTCAGCATG